ATCACTCTGAGGCACAGAGACCCAGCCTGCTATCACTCTGAGGCACGGTTAGCCTGGCAATTCCTGACTGAAGGGTTCTGATGACTCAGGTGCATCTGCTGTTGCCTCTTTTCAGCCTGCAGGGTGCCAAGGAGAACGTGAGCTCTACATACGCAGGGGAATGGAGGTGCATGCTGTGGTCTGTGGGGGTGCGTATGGAGGGCGGTGCAGAGCTCGTACCAAGGGAAGACGCCTCCTCACAGCTCAGGCTGAGGGGCCCCGAGCCTTGCTGCTCAAACAGCATGAACTGGTAACGGTGGAGACCAGTGCCCCTAGGAGGGGTGGGGCGACGGTACCCTGCGGAGGAAACGGTGAAGTTTTCACTAGGAGTAAGTAAGAGGGGATATGCAGCTTGCAAACATTTATCCTTTCTTAATTTTCAGCCCGAACTTATAAATGGTAGGATAACCAAATATTCTGGCTCATGCAAAACGTCACATAACATTGTATTGTATAATGAAGAAGACCTTCACTGGAGCTCTGAAGGGAAGGCTGGTTGCCAGAAAGTATAGAGACATTCATGATTTTGTGGCGTGGTACATAGGTGATCATTTATTTGCACTAAACAAAAGATTCCTTCACTTAGGTCTAGGTGTCATGGGGTCTGGAGGGGGACAGAAGTTATCTGTAGACCTGAGAGGTTAGAAGAAGCCCCTTCCTGTAGAGGTGTAGGGGGTATCAGCCTGTGACGGAATGTGGAAAGAGCTGTTTGCCAGCTCCGCCTGTCACTCCCACCCCCAACCAGGAGGGGGAGCCCTCCTTTTGGCTCAGATGGTCGATTGCTCTGAAATGGGCCTAAACAGCATCACGTAACCTGGGGGAAAGCAAACCCTTGGCCACTGAGCCACACGGACAATTCATATCTGAACGTGTGGCACAAAACCGCAGGGCCTGGGTAGGACGGGAGGTCTGGGGGCTGCGAGCGGGTTGCCAAAGGGCTGTATTATGCCATCCCGTTATCGCGGCGAGCAACGGCTCAGGTAACCTTATCCGTGCCTCCGACAGTATGACGAGCATCCTTCTAGGTGTAGAATCCCATTAACACCCACACAAAACAAACAAAAAAAACACCAAAGAAAGCAGCTAACGAACAAACAAACAAAAACAAACAGAAATAAAGGAGGCGGAAAGAGCCCCTCCTTACCAGATAAGACGGAGCCTTTGACATCTCCCTTCCTCAGGTCGCTGCCCTGTAGGTTCAAGGGACACGGAGATCAGCTTTCGGAGCCCGCTGCGTGTCACACGCAAGCCAAATGCCCCCTGGAGGGGCACGTCGTGCACAAGCGACTCAAAACCACAGCGTGGCCACAGGGGGACTGGGTAGTGTGACAAGTCAAATACATGTGTCACCTAAGACCTGGAAAGCCCGGATTAACAGGCGACAAGGCACTGGCATGCGGGAGGCAGCCCGATCCAGGCTTAGGGTGTCAAAAACTGCATCCTCTTGGGATCCATGGTGCTTAATATCTAGAGACAAAAGACAATAGCCAGTCAAAACCGTGCCTGCGATCGGATTTCAGAATGGCAAATTCCTATTTTATTAATTGTATATGAAATCCTGGTTGCCTAGGAACAAGGATGGCAAACAGGATGGAGATGAACTGAAATAAGCATGTATTTTTTTTCTTCTCAGGACATTCCAACCCATGTCACGATAAAGCCCATCTGCTCAATGCCTTCCGCGGATGGGTGCTGTATGCAGAGAGCCCGCGTTATAAACATGGTTATTCAGTAACGCGAGCGCACATGTGTGTGTGTGTGTGTGTGTGTGTGTGGGCGGGATGGTCCGCGGTTGGCATCTTTCAGACAGTGCTCAGATCCCGCTCTCGCGGTGAGACTGGAAGTCCCCAGAAAAGGTCAAAAGCAGTCAAGTGTGAACCTTGGCACAGAAAGACAATGTCAGATGTGCGCATTGTGGCCCTGGTAGCGTCCCGCTTCTCAAGCCCCAGCTCGCCACGTATGCTTCCCCCTATGGGCCATCACTGGAACTGCGTGCAGAACGGAGGCACTGCTCTGATAAAAATCATAATAAAGGGAGAAATAATACATGTGTAGGCAACTCAAACACACACACACACACACAAACACAGACAGAGCTGTTCTTGTTGTTCTGGTTAATGTCAGAGGCTTTCTTTGAAAAGCGCTCAGGGATGACTGGGAGCTGAATAATCTATACTGATTGGTACGTAACATATTTCCATAACAACTGTTGGATAAAATTTTCAGAGGAACTGAAAGAGGAGAACAGAAAGACATACGGACTAATGGCCTGGCTCAGGAATCTCGATAAGATTCAGCAGCTGCTCACAGACACTCACTATAACATTTTTTCACCATCTTAAGTGTCAGCCTTGCCCTAGTGCTTATCCTGCGACACACCGGGTGATGGATGTCTAGCGATAGAGTCCTTTCTCCTCGGGCCTTTATTAAGGGATGGAGTGACAGCAGAGTGTGACGGCATGGAGTGACAATGGAGAGTGACAGTGGGGAGTGACAGCGAGGCGAGAATGTGAGGACTGATGGGGAATGACTGGAAAGTGACAGCAGGGAGTGACAGCAGTCATTGATAGAGGAAAATGACAGTAGGGGATGACAGTGAGGAGTGACAGCAGGTATTGACAGCAGAGAGCAAGAGTGGGGAGTGACAGCAGGGAGTGACAATGGAGAGTGATGGAGGAGTGACGACGGAGAGTGACAGCAAAGAGTGAGAGTGGGGACGGACAGCAGGGATTGACAGTGGAAAGTGACAGTGTGGGGTGACAGTGGGGAGTGACAGCAGGCATTAACAGCAGAGAGCAAGAGCGGGGAGTGACAGCAGGGAGTGACAATGGGGAATAGCTGCAGTAATTAACAGAGAAGAGTGACAGCGGCAAGTGACAGTGGTGAGTTACAGTGGGGAGTGACATCAGGCAGTGACAGCAGAGAGCACCAGCACAGAGTGACAGTTATGAGTAACAACGGGGAGTGAAAGTGAGGAGTGACAGCAGGGAGTGACAATGAAGAGTGACAGCGTGGAGTAAGAGGGGAGAGTGACATCAGCTCAGGTGTGTTTGCATGGCAGCGCATGGCCTGCCCCCTGAACCTTGCTGCAGGTTACCAGCCTGCCTGTCCTGTGGGAATCTCCAGCTACACACACTTACTCCCTTAGGAAGGAATGCATATTTCAAGCTTTAGGGAAATCAATTATAATAAGATATATTCTCATCAGAGGGAGGCCTGTAAAGACCTTCAAACTTAGGGAAAGTCCCTCTGTTTCAGTGTGACAATACACAGCTTTCGGGGAGGGAAGGGCTGTCAGTGGAAATTTTGTAATATTGTGATGCACTGCGAGAACAGATTCAAGTGACATAAATTTGTACTTAGATAACACAAACAAGCACATACTTATGCAACATGTTCAGATCGTGCTTAATTGTATTTAATCCATCCATCCATCCATTTTCTGTACACACTTGGGTCCGCACTGCCATTTACCTTCCTCCTGACCACTGTTCTCATCCTCACACACCCCCCCTACCTATTTGGTAATGGATCCGTCCCACTGCCTCGGTGAGCCGGGATGCCCCACTTACTGCTTGTGCGGAAGAGGGAGGATGTCGGACATGCTGTGCTGCACACCGTGTGCCAATGTGACTGACTTTAGCTGCTTTCTGGTTCTGGTTTCGTGGGCAGATGTGACCGCGGCCGCCGTACATACATTTTCAAATCCTGCAAGCAGCAGAGTGGCTAAGGCCCTAAGCTGAAGCATCTGAAAGCTATGGAAGGGGCAGCTGTTTGACCTTTGAATGCGGAGCAGGGCCGGCCAACCCCTTACGGGAGAGAGATGGCTGCCTTGGGCACTAACTTCTCAGGGGCACTGACCACTGACTTGCTAGGCAGTTTCACTTTGCATCGGACGGGGGGCAGCGGGGGTGATGCTTGCCTATGGTGCCACGTTAGCTAGGATCGGTACTGAGGAGGGGGTCACCCGATCTGTGGAATAACTAGCAAGGGCATGACCGAGCTTGGCCAGCAGGAACACGAGGATGATCGCGATGGGAGCTGAGGAGGACCTGACTGTATCCTGATTAGCCCTGGGGGGGGGGGGCGGTCAGTCCTGGGGGGGGTCAGTCCGGCATGGGGACCCATGGGATGCAGCGGCCAGTCACTTAGGTAGTCAGCCGCTGATTGAGACTGAAGCCGTAAAATAGTTTGAATCACAGACTGAACATGCTGACTGAGGGCTTCCACCGTTTCCCGAAAATCAATTTTGAAAAAAGTGAGAAAGTCTACACAAAGAAATAAATACATAAATAATTCTGTGTCCACCTGTCCGGCTAACAAACAGCCACTTACCATCCTTAACAACTGCATGATTAAGGAACCAGAAAACTCCATCCATCCATACATCATCCAACGGTGCAGAACAGTCACATCACCGTTGGACCTGTGACCAAGGCCCTCACCCCTCCCGAAATGCTCCAGGGGCACCAGAAAAATGGCCCGACACAGCTCAGTTCACAACTGCGTATATGTCTGTCTCAAAAAAAGGCGAGCAAGATATTCTACATGTGATAGATATGTGCGAGATACGTGAAAAGAAGCATTACAATGTACTGTCGCTATGTGGCAAATGACAAATAAAGGATCATTTCATAAAAGGAGCTGTAACAGTCACTTCAGCTTGGTATACAATTCAGTTTATCATGATTTCTCTAGTTTAGATCTTTAAGAGCTCAGAAATGCGTCATTCAAAGACCTTGATTCTGACCCCTGACTTGAGGAAACACTTAAATAACGATGAGACAGCACTCAGGTGCTGTCGGACTTTATTAAAACGTCAGTATTAATAGGATGAACTGTATTCTACTCCTTCGGCTGTTCATGTTTTTTTTTTTTCTCCCTACTTGGGAGTTTTTGGTTCCTCTCCTCCGTTGTCACCTGTCTTTCTTTCTTTCTTTCTTTTTTCTTTCATTTCTTTGTCTTGCCTTTTCCCGGTTTTTGTATTATTCCATCTTAATGAAGTCGTAATGTTTTCCAAAACACCCATGCAAAGCACCTTCTGGTGACTCTGTTGCGAAAGGCGCTATATAAAAATATATTGAACTGAATTACACTGCAAGCTTTCACGGTGAGCTGCCAATCGGCATCAGACAGGCAACGGTTTCGCTCTAGCTGTGTGCCGAAATGTATCAAAACCACAGAGTCTGTTGTAGAGCGCAGTTTGTTCATTCCTGGTGTGTCATTCCCCGCATTTCTGTTTTCAGCAACACTCGTTCTGTTTGAGTGAAATATGAACAACCCTGAAGCGAGGTTGGGAGCTTCATGACACTCCGGAACATTCTGAAGTTAAGAATCCCTGTCAACATCACCTACGTTGACTGTAACTGACCAAATGTACTAAAATTACTGAGACCATCTGCTGTGTGCCGAACGCGGCAGGTTTTTCAGATCGGGAGGAATGTCTGAGCGAAAGTTACCATAATGACTCACTTTTATTTTTGTTGAGTATGACTGTGTCAGCAAAAAAAAAAAAGAACACTTTCTGGGGACCAAGCCGAGAGCATGATGGGATATCTGAGAAACCATCGAGAGGCAAGGGTCACAAAAGGTCTTCAAAATGTCAAAAAAAAAGGTTGAGGTTCACTAAGTAGGGCTTGCCGACACCACGTGGCCAAGACTGCGGTGGCAGGTAACATGTCCCCAGACGATGACAGCACCTTTAGTGGGAACGACGCCATCTGTGGGGAAATCCTACAGTGCCGTGTCAGCATGAGCGGGCCATGTGTACATCTGGGAGACCCTCACTTTACGGGACTTAACCGGTGCAGATGGAACTCAGGTAGATGAGCGGTCAGGCAAGCGCTGCCCTTCCGGCCCTGTAGAAGCCCATATGACCAGCGAGAAGGGCTGGCTATTCGCGGATCAGCGGTGAGAGTATCGGATTAGCATTTGGAGAATGCTACAGGCAGCCTAGTACAGACTTATGAACAGCTAAATTATAGCAGGGTGAACATCTGGGGGCGGGGAGGGGAGCGGGGGACTGTGCTCTTGAACCCGGCCAACACTTTAAACAACAAACATTTGGCTTGCTAGCTTTTTCCTGCTCTTGTAGCGCGGATAACTGAACTCCTTCTACAGCCTTATTTATATTCGTCACAGATGCATGTAGGGTAATGAGTGACGAGAGTGCTCTTAAATGCCAATAAAG